CTAAACTGCTACAGTAACCCACCATATAACAGGTACCGGGTAGTTGGGTTTGGGTTCGTGGTTTGAAGCTCTTGGAAACCGGCCTTTGTCTGTACGGCTCGCACGAAGCCGGCCCACTCCAGCAGTACACATGTGACGTGGTTGCGCAAAGAAGCTCAGATGCCTGTATGTACGTATACAGCTTACATATATACATACATATCTATGTATATATATATATGTATGTAGATGCACACATACATGCTAATGAGTTACATGTGCCGGATCGCTCCGGAAAGGAGAATCATGTGCCAATTTGCCCGCCACGGCAGCCGCCTCAGGGTCTTAGAGCCTGAGAGCCCTTATGAACCCCTGTAGAAACCCCCGGACACCTGAAGCCTATACAACTCTTAAGTATGACCCTACACCATTCTTCTGAAGCCGTTGCCCCAACGGTCAAATTTCTCAGCCCCGACCGAAACTCTTAAAGCATTTTTTTTGAAACCATCGTAATGCTTGACGGCTTTCGGGTTTAGGGTTTGAGGGCTTTAGGTAGGGTGCTTAATCGCAGCTCGAAGCCCATGAACATGTTCCTTCCTTCTCGAAAATCCTAAATTACCCATTAAACCCTTCTTTCAACCCATGCCTCGCGACGGGCGAACCACCAACAAACCAGCGTGCTGACGACTCCAACGGCCGCGCCGTAGGCGTTGCAGGGCACCAGTGGGGCAGCAGGCAGATAGAGGCCATAGGCCAGCCTCAGAGGTTCCCAAACCCTACGGTTGATGCTATAAGACCTGCATTACCCATAATAAGGAATATACCATAATTCCCATAGTTTAGGGTCCCTAAAGTCATGCAGGATTTCTACCATCAACCGTACCTCCATTGTAGTTCCTTTTTTGGGCTACCTTTCAGGATCCTGAACCTAACATAGCTTCCTGGATTTACGAGCTTCGTAGCCAAAGGGTTTAGGGTTTAGGGTTTAGGGTTTAGGGTTGTCCATGTACCAAAATAGTATTTTCCTTTGGCCGAACGTCAGTCCCTATATAGGCCAGACCATATACTGTTTGCATAAACCCATGTAGAACCCGTAAGGGAACCCTTAGAGGAAGCCTCAGCGCGTACACGGACCCCTAGGGCTAACTTTGAGGTGTAGGATTTCCTTTCCCAGCCACTTGGAGGCTCAGAACTTAGTTGGGTTTAGGGTTTAGGGTATATTATTTTGATTAGTTGAGCTGAGCTCAAAAACTCTCCCAAGCCCTGAACCCGAAGTAGCAGCTATATGCCAACCTAGAAGTTGTTGATAAAGGTGGTTGTTTTCGGGAATTTGGTTTAGGGATCTCCGACTCCAATTCAGGGTTCGAGTCTCTGGGTTGAGGGCATAGGTTCAGGGCTTAGGGGTTTGGTTTGCTTCAATTACCACGGTAAGGAAAGCCTATTCTCCAGCCACCAAGAACTCATGCTAGGGTGGAAGATGTGGTGTCCGCTGCCCGGACCTCCAGAACAGACTGATCATCGGACACGGCTCTTTATTTTGGGGCCTCAATAACTAGGGTTTGGGGGTTTATAGGTATCGGCACTTAGGCGAAGGTTATCAGAGTACTACTGGTATATATGGCAAACCTACAAAGAATAAAATATCCCTACTATACATACTCCCGATGAAACGAGTTGGGCTAGTCATGGCAAACCTACGAGACGGCCTTGGTGTGGGGTTAAGGCTTAGAGTCTAGGGTTTTAGGGTTTTAGGGCCGCTTAGGGCTTAGAGTTTAGAGTCCATGATTTTTCTTCTTGCGTTCCAGGCAGCTGCACCATGCAATTGAGGTAGAAGCCTGCAGCTGTCACGCCGTTTTCTGTGTGGCTGCGACTTTCGTCGTCGTAATAGTAACTGTTAGTAGGAATGGGAATTGGAATAGGAAAAGGTCGAGCCACAGTATTAGCAAGAGCACGAGCCGTACCAGTCATATAATACTTCGGGGCCGTGCCACAGAAATGAGTTCACCTGTGCATCATGAGGCCGCTTCGCCACGGTGCTAAGTATGCTAAGAGTGAATGTTCCTACAAGACGGACGGATCTACAGCTGGGCAGGTAATGATAGGGACGCCCTGAGCACGTAGCTGACTGCTGCTCTGTCACCCGGACCCTAAACCCTAAGCCCTACACCCTACACCTTAAACCCTAAACCTAAACCCTAAACCCTAAACCCCAAAGCCCTAAGCCCTAAACCCAACGTATCATTCATAAGCCGGTGGGGAGCAGAGCAAGTTCAACGGCTTCACGTAGCGGACTTTGGCCGGCATTCCATAGACGTCCAGTGTCCTTTGAGTCTCGGGATGTTGTAGAATTTTCCAATAAGGGATCTCAAAGGTTCCATAAGGGATTTATGGGGTTGAGGTTTAGGGGCATCCAGAAGGTTTTACAAGGGTCCGATAGGCCTATAGCGTTCCATCAGGAATACATAGGGTTGAGGGTCTAGCGGATCGTGTTTAGGGTTTACGGTCTAAGGGTACAAGGTTTAGCTTTCAGGGTTTAGGGATTAGGGTTTAGGGACACGGTCTCGGCGCTTTCTCGGCAGAGGGGCGTAGGGTCTGCTTCTGTCATACACCTGGCCACATCCTCACGTCGAAAGATTCTTCGCACTTCGTTTTGCCAAAGCTTGAAGCCCCAAAGGCAAGGTAATCACTCACATTGTTGCCTGTAGCGTTTAGGGCTTTTCACGACCGCCATGCGCCACCGATGCTGTTATGGTACATGGAAAACATATGTGCAAAGCGCTTAGGCCCTGCCGCCAAGCGAGGGGATTAGCTGGGGTGTTTTTGAAGATATTGCTTCAGACCCAAAAGTCTACTTTGAATTGGGAGGAGTAGCCGGCCTGTTGTTTAACATCTTGTTGGAAGAAATGTAATGCTCTTGCCGAAACTAATCCTAGCCAATGCGGGGGTGGAGGACCTCTTTGGTGGTTCTTCTGAATTCCAACCCTATTTTTGTATCCCGGAGAACACCACATGATGGATAGGGTCATTGTGAGGAGTAGCCAGGCTTGTTACCAATTGTTGAAACAGATCTCCAATGAGGTTTTGGGATGGCATGGTTGTGTAATTTGCTTTGACCCATACGGTACTGTTCGGGATTCTGGACACCACTCTGCGCAAGTACCTAAAGTACCAACGAATCTACCTTTTTGAGGTGCTTGTCTTCCAGCGCGAGGGGGCCGCACAGACAGAAGTACTGAGACCACATATGATGTGAATATTGTTACCCTGGTTGGGAGAGTTTGCCATATGCTACATGTGCCTGGGAAATCCTATGGTTAATGGCTTCGATGGTGGGTTTGTCGCAGAGATCATAGAACCTAAGTGCCTGATTTTGTCGCCTTGGGGTGGGGGGTGGAGTCAACGAAAGCTGGCGGAGTAGTCGTGTTGTTGGCTTTCAAGTAGTCTTTTTTGCTCGCTTGTGAGTGGCTCGCCTCTGATTGGACATTGCGCAAATATTCCTCAACCGCCGTAACTGTAACTCCGAATAGTAGGGTGTCATCCGTGTACTCTATGTCATAAACTGGTTTGCCCACTGAACAAGTGTTTGTAGGTACCCCTGTGCTGAGTAGTCGTCTATCTACATCCGCTAGTGACACTGTCATCACTATCACAAAAAGGTACGGGCCAAGAGGACAGCCTTGTCTTATTCCCGTGTGAGGAGTACCCTGAGTTTTCTCCCGTTTAGGCCTATTGTGTAAAGGGTGGGATTAGTATTATATGTCCGGGATGACGTCAATATAGTGTTGATAGTCTCGCTTGGATCAAAGACGTGTATATCTTATATAGCGTATTGAGCAGCGCTATTGCCCTGTAATTCGTTGCGTCCGCGTCGTGGCCTTTTCCCTTATAGAAGGAGCATGCTATGGTATCCTTCCAAGCTTGCGGCAATGTTTTGCATACCCAGCATGTGTTCATCAGATCCAGAATTTGCGCTCTCCAAATGTATCCAGGAGGAGTAGCAGATTGTGTCTTAGGTGCTTTGCCCTCTTTAAGTTTGTTCAAAGTGGCAGTGAGTTCTGGGAGTGTAAAGGCTTTTGGGGAGTAGTGTCCTGTGGTCTTAGTGGGGGCGATTCCTCAAGGAGTTCTTTGTCTTCCTGCGTGACTTGCGTCGGGGACCACTGTGAGTGCGTGTGGTGGGCGACTGCCATGGAATTTGTCTAGCGTCGACTACGAGTCTCCTTCTGCGCTCTGAGCAGCCTTTTTTTACGTTTCCTGAAGTTTGTCCGCAATGTCTTTTGGCTCGGGTTGGGGTTGTGTTCGAATGAATCTCCGATCCATTGTCTGTTGAGCGTGCACGCCTCCTTCTTTAGGTCCTTGTAATAGGCGGAGTAGTCGTGGTCCAGATTTGCGTTCATTCTCTTTGCCTGTGCTATTTGTTTCTGCCAGCTCTGGTGTTATCTAGGGTCTTTGCGGAGTAGCTTCGGGGGAAACGTTTCTTGCTCACCAATTTTTTGTGCTTACGATGCTCACTGACTTTTTTGTGCTGATGATGCTCACTTAGCCTGTCAGACTAACAACACGAGTACAAGCCCGAGCCTACTTCCGGCCTAAACCTCCCCCCCCAAGCGCCACACCTCTAAACCTTCGACACCCTAGCCCAATCCACAAACCCGTCACCAAGCCCACATCCCGGCACACTCAGTGAATTCTATGGAGAACAGCGTTTGGTTGAGCAGTGGCGGTGTACTTAGCCAAATTCGGCGAGGCTATGGCAGACACAAGGGTCAACCAGTTCGGCGCTCCACGAGCATTTGGGGTTGGGCACCCCAGGCACAGGTAGCGTACTCTTGAGGACACAAAAGGGGTGAGGCACTCAAGTGACAGGTGAGGTTGGGCATGTGACACTGGGGTTGGGTAGAGGTTGTGCGCAACGATGACACTGGGACCAATGTTGGTGTCATGAGCGGAACATATGTTGATGTAAATGGCAAATTATTCATGCATCAAACAGACGCCTTGCGCATGCCTTTGGTTCCGATTCTTCATCGAAGTTTGGGCGGATGCTCCTGCCAGGCAGCTCTCACCTCTGCGCGGGGCTGCACCAGCTTGTCCACCAGTGCCAGGGCACGTTTCCCGCCAGCAACCACCAGCGACCTGATGGCTCGCCACTGGTGTCGCTGGGCTGCCTCGACATGGCTTGCGCCAACATACGCCAAGCATGCTTTAGGCATGAATGTGGCCGCCTCCCGGCTGTGGCCCCGGACTGCCCGGTTTCCGCTCCTCTGCGCTCTGGACTTGAAAATGGTGACCCGCACGAGTGCCAATGTCTTGCCCTCACGGATGAGGTAGCGCACGCTCCGTTCGATGTCGTCAAGTATGGGGCCGTTGCAACTCGAAGTTGCCACCTGTTGCTACAACTTGTCGCAACTGTAGCGATGCGGACAACTTATAACGGCAATGAGGCAGCAAGCGACCGGGGACGCCACACGGATGCCGAAAAGAGCTCCATAAAGGAGAAATGCGCCTTCACGCGCACATCCGCGCAACTTGCTGGATCGCTCTAGCATTGACAAAACCCCCTTCCCTCGCCTGTCCCCGGCTGTAAGATAGTCTTGGCCTACGCATGAGGTGCTCATTGGTCCACTGTTCGTCGTCGTACCGTGCACGCTCATCACTTCAGTTGCATGCGGCACTGATGAGCTGCCAATGCCTGCTTCACCGAAACCCAGGTATTGTACACAGGTGAAACGCGTTGTTCGTGCCGGCGACGCTCCAAGAAGAAACACAGTGGTCCTCCATGACGTCCCATGCCGTGGCCAGCAGCGCACGCCACCTCAGGTGCCGAAAGCAGATCTGAACGATTCCACAGGAGACTGAGGCCACAGCATAACCGAAGACATTGGCACGTGCGACAGCGCACAGTACCAGTTAAAGCCGGTGACCTTGTCGTCAACTATGACGAGGTGCGAGCCCCTCATGACAGCTCAAGCGAAATTTTGTGCCGACATGCGAAAACTGTGAGGCCGACCTGGCACAGAGTCTTTCGGCCAAGGTAACTGTGTGGTCCGCGCCGGTCACGGAGGGAAGGATCCGGAAAAGGGACCCTTAGAACGTAGAACTGCAAAAAGAGGCTATGCATGAAACCATTTGAGCACAACCCTCAACTCCCTCCTTCAATGCATTTCTGAGGTAGGCCTGCCACCACAGAGGGACATGCGAATCTATATTCGGGCCCGTCGCCTGAACCCCGGCCTCAAACTCCCCATCGTCTGGGCTGACCAAACTGCCAAACTGGACCGCTGCGTTCCGGTTCATGCTACGGGTTGCATGAACCCACTGGAAGCACCACTGCATATGAAGCGGTCTGGAGCAGCTCGAAGGTCCACCCACGCCGGGTGAACATGTCCTGCCGCCCCCCCAGAGCGAACACACACGAGCGTGTCCGCCAGGAGGTCCTCATGGAAACAAAACGCCAAAACCCCAAATCGCGTAAACCCTTAGGGCGTTGACAAAAATGAGCTCCGTTTCTATCAGATGAGCACCTCAAAATCCTAGAGACCCCCCCGCAACAAACGAGGCTGTCAGGTATCTAAGGCTCTAAGGCACTTACCTGGGCTCAAGTAAGGATTTTTTTCAGGGCCGAGGCTTTCTGATCAACAAAAATTTTAGGGCCGAGGCTTTCTGAAGCTGGGGGTTGTGTGTCTGATACGATGCTTATGGTTTTATAACGAACCCAAAGACACGCAATTGGTAGGCCCTGCACCCTGTACCCCAAACCCTGGTTAGGGTAATGGTACGGGGTCTGGGTGGGGTGGTCTAGGGTTCAAGCCATTGAAATTACGGCAGTTCTCTAAACAAGGGTCCCTGTAGGCCCCCAACGTCGTACAGCATCCTTATAAATGGAATCTACAAGGGACCCTAATTTAAAGCGCTCCCCACATGGTGGAAGATACAACCTTGCTCAAGACTTCCCTTGTTCAGCCCAACTTGAGCCCTATAACAACCGGCCCTGGACGCTCTTCTAGCTAGCACGATCAAAGAGCCCGTCAAGGAGCACGAAAGCCGTAAAGGAACCCTTATAAATCCTGTAAAAACTTCAAAGAAATCATAAGCCTTTTAAAGGTACCTCTACGGTTTTCAACCCTAAACCCTAAACCATAAGCCTTTTAAAGGTACCTCTACGGTTTAGGGTTGAGGAAACCTACAAACGCCGATGTGTCGCCGTGGATCTTCTAAGGCCCTGAACCCCCGGAACCTGGCCCAACCACTTTAAGGGATCTCTTCCTAGGGTTTAGGGTTTATAGGGTTTACAGGGTGTATAGTGTTTATAGGGTTTCTAGGGTTTATAGGGCTTCTAGGGCCTCTAGGGTTTATAGGGTTTATAAGGTATAGGGCTTATAAGGTCTATAGGGTTTATAGGACTTATAGAGCTTGTAGGGTTTATAGGGTTTATTGGGTCTAAGGTTTAGGTCCGATAGATGCTTGAAACCCAACCTGGACCAAAGAACCTATCCTTTAGGGTTCCTTATTATTCTGATTTCTTTACATAAGTCCTTAAATAAGGTAGGTTCTTTGGGGTTAAGGAAGGCCCTATACCCCAAAAAACCGACCGACCCTAAACCCCCTAAACCGCCTAAACCCCCTAAACCCTCTAAACCCTAAACCCTAACCCTAAACCCTAAACCCTAAAAGCCCTAAACCCTAAAAGCCCTAAACCCTAAACCCCAAAAGCCGAAGCCAAGAAGGCGTTGCATCCGAGGCTCTGAGACAGAGGAGAGGTCATAAAGAAGACGGCCATTGAGATTGCCATCGTCTCAAGGAGAACGTCCACATATCTTGCAGGGCTTCTGGGGTTTAGGGTTTTTGGGTTTAGGGTTTAAATTTTAGCGTTTGGAGTTTAGGGTTTAGGGCTTTTGGGGTTTAGGGCTGTTAGGGTTTAGGGTGTAGGGTTTGGGGGGTTTGGGCTTTAGGGTTTGGGGTTCGGGGTTTAGGGTTTAGGGCTTTTGGGAATTGAGGTTTAGGGTTTAGGGCTTTTGGGGTTAGGGCTTTTAGGGTTTTGGGTTTTGGGCTTTAGGGCTTTGGGGTTTTAGGGCTTTTAGGGCTTTTAATTTAGGGCTTTTAGGGCTTTTAGGGCCTTAGGGTTGTAGGGCTTTCAGGGCTTTTAGGGCTTTAGGGCTTTTAGGGCTTAGGGCTTCAGGGCGTTTAGGGCTAGGGTTTTAGGGCTTTTAGGGCTTTGAGGGTTTTGGGGTTTTTAGGGTTTTCGGGCTTTTAGGGCTTGTGGGCTTTTAGGGCTTTTAGGGTTTAGGGAATGAGAGCGGTTCGGGGTTTAGGGGGTTTAGGGTTGAGGGAATTAGGGTTTAGGGTTATAAAGAGGGTTTGTATGAAGGGTTCATTTCCGGGTTCATTCAGAGGGCTACTATAGATAAAAGGGTTCATTAATAGGGTTTCTTCGGGCTTAGGGCTTTGGGGCTTTAAGCCTTTTAGGGTTACAGAGGGTTCCTATAAAGGGTTCGTTAATAAGGGTTCAAAAGGGTTCATTAATAGGGGCTCTTTGGGTTTAGGGTTTAGTTTTTAGCTTTTGGGCTTAGGGCTTTGGGGCTTTAGGCGTTTGGGGTTCCCTTGAAAGGGTTCCTGTACAGGGTTCTTCAAAGAGTTTCATAAGGGTTTCTTAATAAAAGCCTGACAAGGGCTTTTTTTTCTGCTTATCAGAGGTTAAGGGCTTTAGGGGTTTAGAGTTTTAAGGGCTTTAGGGTTTGGGGTGTTGCGCCGTAAGCCCTAAACCCTAAACCTTAAAATCTTCGTTCTAGTTATTTTCTTCGTTCCCTTGTTGACTAAATGGATCCTAAGCCGTGCCGTTGCCCAGCAGGAAGGCGAGTGGAGTCTAGCACGGAATTTTTTGAATGAGTGCCATTTAGGGTTTAGGGTTTAGGGCCATAATGGAGAGACAGGTTGCAAGCAGTTCGTTTTCTTCACCATCAGTACTGCGACTGAGCACCTCTAAACGTAAATCACTCGAATCCCCATACCCCAAACCCCAAAACCAAACCCCCAAACCGCCCCCAAAATCACCCAAACCCCCAAATCCCCCAAACCCCCCAACCCCCTAAACATCCAAACCCCAAACCCCCCACACCCCCCCAGAGCTGAGGAACATCTGCAGACGCTGGCAGCGGCAGTGGCACCGGAGGGCCCTGGCTTCTTCTACCTGAAGATCCCAAGCCAGGACTTAGTAACTGAATGAGTGCACTTTAAACTTTTTGGGATAATATGGAAACCCTAAACCCCAAGCCCTAAACTTTTTGGGATACGATGGCTCCTTATGAAACTGAAAAGTGTATACGTCTTTTGGCTTATGAACCCAGCAACTACCTGAAGATCCCGAGCCAGGAGATGGTCCGGATGGGTTTAAAAAAGGGCTGAAGAATTCGAACAGGGTTAGGGTTTAGGTGTTAGGGTTTAGGGTTTCATAACCCAGACGGTCCGAGTGCCCGAACAGTCAGGTTCTGGGTCCCAAATCCATACTCTGAGTGGTATTTGGACCTTGAAACCCTACCATTTGGGTACTTGGACCCTTAGGGAAAGGGCTGAATAATTCGAATAGGCGTGTAGGGTTTTAGGGTTTAGGGGCCTTAACAATTAGAATGGGATTGAGGGGTATATTATCTCATGCCTGGTTTGGGTTCATTATTATGGTTTTCTATATATAGTTCCTTAAAAAGGCAGGTTCTTCAGTGTCTAGGTAGGGTTTAGGGTTTAGGGGTTTAGGGCTTAAAGGGTTTGGAGTTTAGGCGGCTTGGGGCTTGGGTTTAGGGGTTAGGCGGTTTCGGGTTTAGGGTGTAGGGTTTGGGGTTTAGGGTTTAGGCGGCTTAGGGTTTAGCGTTAGGGCTGTCAGAAGTTCGAAAGGCTAAGTAAGGTTTTTCTTTGCAAGGGTACCAAGTTCAATATAGCGTGTATCGGGCTCTATAGGGCTTGAATAAGGGTTCTACAGGGTTGTGCAGGTCGGTTTAGGTTTTGGGGTTCGCCGTTGGTTTCGACATTGAGGGCTTGTGGTTTGGGTTTGGGGTTTTAGGGTTT